TCACTGGAGAAGACCCTGATGCTGGGAAAGATTGAAGGTCAAAGAAGACGGGGACGGCAAAGGATGAGATGGTTAGACAGTGTCATCGATGCAACGAACATGAAATTGAGCAGACTTCAGAGGACGGCGGAAGACCGGAAGGCCTGGCGTGATCTGATCCATGGGGTCGCGAAGAGTCGGACTCGACTGTACGACTGAACAACAACAACAGCAAAATTGTATAGACACACCTTTCTTACATTTGACCAATAAGGAGATTTTCATTTAAATGTTGTTTAATTTTTTGTAACCAATTATGCTTTCTGAATATTATTTTCATGATGATGGTATGATGATGTCATATTAAGTATTTAACTTCATGTATTTCCTGGTTGGGCTCAGAAAGCAGACAATTTTGATCGGTCATTTGGCCTAACTGTTTTCCATGTCTGATTGCAATTAAACACAAGATCTTCCAGTTTGGTGTAGTGGTTTGGAGCCAGTTTGGTGCAGTGGTGCGGACAATAATCTGGGAGAACGGGGTTTGATTCCCCACTGCTCCACTTGCACCTGCTGGATGACTTTGGGCAAGCCGTAGTTCTGACAAGAGCTGTCATTGAAAAAGAGCAGTTTCTGTCAGAGCTCTCTCAGCCCCGCCTACCTCCCAGGGTGTCTGTGGTGGGGAGGGGAGGGGAAGGGAAAGGAGATTGTAAGCCGCTCTGAGACTCCTTCAGGTAGTGAAGGGCGGGGCATAAATCCAATCTCCTCTCCTCCTCCTCTTCTTCCTCCTCATTTTGACTTCAATTTCCTATTTTTGACCGGATATTAATTTGTGTAACAAGATTTGGCGCCCAACATCGAGGGCAGCCGGATATCTTTGGGGCCAGGGATCACCAGTAAGTTGTTCTCAGCGGAGACTTCCAAAATCACCTGCAGGCGTCCAAACATTTGCATTGATGGAGGAGGAGGCCACGACACATGTGAAACCGGATGGAAAGGCAAAGATTCTCCCCCAAAAAACATACAGACAGGCTACAATCCGACAAAGAAATACTGGCTGAAAGATCCAAATAACCTGTTTAACTGGACACTGCACGTATTTCCATGAACTGGGGTTGCCGGATCGCCCCCCCTGCCCACCAGTGGGGGTTGGAGGGTAGCATTGCCAACTCCAGGTTGGGAAATTCCTTGAAAATTGGGGACGGAGGACAGGGGGGACAGGGACCTCAGTGGGGCACGATGCCATAGAGTCCACCCTCCAAAGTAACCATTTCCTCCAGGGAACTGATCTCTGTGGTCTGGAGATGAGCTATGATTCCGGGGGATCCCCAGGCCCCACCTGGAGACTGGTATCCCTACCAGACAGAGCCGCAGACAGAAACCCAGAGTTTAGCCTCTATCCATCTGAAACAGGACATAGATAGTGCAGCCCTAAACAGATCTTTAAAAAGGTAAAGGTTCCCTTGCTCGAAAGCCGGTCGAGTCCGACTCTAGGGTTGCGGTGCTCATCTCCGTTTCAAAGCCGAAGAGTCAGCGCTGTCTGAAGACGTTTCCGTGGTCATGTGGCCGGCATGACTAAACACCAAGGCGCGTGGAACGCTGTTACCTTCCCACCGAAGTGGTCCCTATTTATCTACTTGCAATTTCTTGCTTTTGAACTGCTCGGTTGGCAGGAGCTGGAACTAGAGACGGGAGCTCACTCCGTCATGCGGCACACTCGGGTCTCGAACTGCTGAGCTACTGACCTTCCACAGCCTGCAGTTCAGCGTCTTAACCACTTGAGCCACCGCAGCTCCACAAACAGATCTACAACCGTCTAAATCTGTGGTTTAGAAGGGTATAACTCATCTCAGGACTGCGTGGACTGAGAGCCTGTGCTGTCCTGGTCAGAGTACTGGGCTACAACGGAGAATCCTCGCTCACATCCTCGCTCTGCCATAAAGCTCACTGTGTGTGGCTTTGGAGCTGTCACTCTCTCATTCGACCTGGCCTACCTTACGTTGTTGTGAGGGTAAAATGGAGAGCAGGCCACGTATGCTGGCCTAAACTCATTGGAGCACTGATGACATTAAAAAAAAAAATCTATCAAATAAATATTCCCGAGCAAGATTGCAGGGGAGTGTAACTGTTGGTTTCTATGTTAACATGAGCAAATGTGACTCAGACACCTTTGATTCCACTGCCGTAATATATAATTTCAGAAGCAGACATGACTGAGATACAGAGAAGAAAGGCAATCTGTCGTGTACGGATGGTTTCACTCCAGACTTTGCCAAGATCTTTACAACATTTGACTACAAACATCCCAAGTTACTTATTTGCACTAGAAGAACCCAGCCAGCCTCACACCAACTGGACACTCAGAAAAGAATCTTCCTGGTTTTTCTTTCTTTCTTTCTACAAGTCTTGAGTTGTTGTTGTTCAGTCGCACAGTCGAGTCCAACTCTTCGCAACCCCATCAATCCCAGCCAGGAATAAAAATGAGAAAGACAGAACTCAAGCCAAAGAGGACAGACTATACCATATTAGAGAAGATGCCTTTCGCAAGCTTTCGCAAGCTGCCTGAACTCTCATGGCCTGAACGAGGAATTCAGCTTAAAAAATAATAATTGGTCACCGAGAATCCACTAAAAATTTAGTTACTAAAATATCTAGGGGAAGCTCGTTTCACTGGCACCCGAACGGCCTGATCCATTTCCCTCTAGCCTCTTTGTACTGTGGACCCTCAAGCAGAACACGTTTCACAGTTTCTATGGTCCCTAAACCACAACATCGATCTGAAAACGGTATACCATTCACGAAGGGAATATAAATAAACAGTCACACAGGCAAGAGCAAAACCTTGCCAGATTCAAAGACACGTCAGGGCCCATTCACACGTTACAAAGTCTTCGCGTACCTCCCGGGGCCTGTGGGTCAGGCGTCCATGCGGAGCTCTGTGCTTGGAACATAACCTCGAGACCCACGCAGGCCCAATTTTGGTCGGGAAAGCGGCATCCGGAGGGTTAAATGTTCCCCTCCCACTTTGTTTTCTTGTCCCAGGTAGTCATGCTTTGCCCCATCAGGGAAACTGACATGCATGGATGCCTACACATAAGATTTCCCAGTGGGGCAGACGGCAGCCACCCCGGACAGTTTCAGGTTTAAGCCCCTTTTCCTCCTATGCCGGCTTCCCCATTGGAATCTCCCCCTCTGGACGCCTGAGAACGAAGTTCTGAACAGAGAACTCCCAGAGCCGCTCTGTCGACAGGACCGGGAGCGGGAGCAGCTGGGGTCACGAGGACTTTGTAAGGGTGCGAGTTAGCCCTTGACAACTGTACCTTAGGAGAAAGCAAAGGAAGAGAAGCGTGACCTACCAGACTGGAAAAGGGACAGTCTGAAGTAGAAGTAAAGTAGACAGAGTTGATTATGTGGAGCTACTGTTGCCCTGGAAACTTCACAGGAACACCTGGATTGCTGGCAGCTGGGAATAAGGAAGGAAACCACTGATGCATACCCAACACTGTGCAGTGCACGCGCCTCCTCTAGCGAAGAGCTTTCGGGAGAAGGCGGTACAATCGCTAAAGAGCCGGACGCCTCACCAGTCTCAGAAGGCCTGAGAAAATTCACAAGGAACCCTCTTAAACGAGAACCTCTCTTATCTAAGGTATCAAAATAGGGATATAATCTACCCATAGGAAAAAGACCAGAGGACTTTGTTGCCCTACTCCCAATCCACACGTAACCTGCTAGCAGATGAAGCAGAACCAGAGTGAAAACTGGAGTGGGAATGCTGCCTCCCCCCGGTCTCTTCTGTCATTCTTCTGAATGCCACACGACATGACAGACCCCATGAGTTAGGGCAATACACAGGGCAGCTAGTTAGCAGCAAACAACTTGGAAAGGTCTCCTTTAACACAACCAGGCCCTAATGGAGCCTGGTTGTGTCAACCACACACACAGTACCGAGGGAGACAAAGCCACATTCTGGACTGGGGAAAGGCAATGCTAAAAGGAATGACAGGGAATGACTACTGGGACATGTTCCTTCCAAATGACGCTTGGAATCTGCGGAACTGTTGGAAAGCATTGAAATGAAGGGGACAGGGCTGCTTGCAAGCTGAGTGACAGGAACTAACCCCCAAATGGCAGAATTTGAGACAAATGCCACACACACAACATACAACACAAACTCCGCTTGCAGGCACAGTGCAATCCTAAGTAGAGCTATATCCTTTTAAGTCCACTGCAGTCAGCATGGCTGAGAAGGGTGTGACTACGGTAAGATTGCATCAACCGGCCCTTTTTTCTTTTGTCAAATTGCCTATCTACAAACAAGCTTCACAGTTGGTCACGAAAGCGTTTTGTGGAGGTGAACATAACAACATGATAAAGGGCAGCACAGACAGACAACATTCAGTGTATGTACAGCAGACAAGTAGCATCCCCCCCCCCACTCTATATATCAGTGGTGGTGAATCTATGGCACGGGTGCCAGAGGCGGCACTCAGAGCCCTCTCAGTGGGCACGCATGCCATCGCCCCAGCCAGGCCCAGACCGTCATTAAAGTGTGGAATTCTCGGCCAAATAATTTTAAGTAAATGAAAACATTTGGGATTGCTTTCCTTACTTTGTTTGGATCATCTTATGTTCATGTAGGAGTTGTTTTTTCTAAACTGAAATCTCAGTATTCAGGTTAAATTGCCGTGTTGGCACTTTGCGATAAATAAATGGGTTTTGGTTTGCAGTTTGGGCACTCGGTCTCTAAAGGTTTCGCCATCACTGCTATATATAGTCCTATGTGAGTTCTGAAGTTTGTTTTTACAATGTGTCTATCATCCCAGGGTTGTTAAAAAGGGAAACAAACTCTGTGCCCCACAAAATATCAGACGACAGTACAGCTGGAGAAAATGGAAAGGGTTGAATTCTGGAAATGAGTGTACATTTGACATGCAATAGGTTTATAAACCTGAACGCACTTTAACCAGAAAAGCTAGATAACCCACACATATAAAAAAAGAAGTGTTGTAGAGGAGACTTACCGTTCCATATCCTGGCGTGCCCATACCATAGAGTTGCCACCACTTGCCGTGCGCCATCCCAGAAATCATTGGAATAAGCCTCTTTTAAGTCAGTCCGTCTCTTATAAATATGAAGGATGATAATATTAATGTAGAGGAAGAGTAGGATAAGTCCAGGAAGTATAAAAGACACAACGAGAGGCGCAAACAGCCACAAAAGGTATGCCACATAATTCAGATAATCCTCCAAGTGCTGCACGCCAGTCCATTCTTCCAATATGTACAGCAGGCAAGTGAAGTAAGACATCGGTATCTGAGCTGAGCCGCAGGATTCATTGCGGCCTATCATACTCTGTTGAAAAAAAGAGAAGTTGCAGTCAGAGTCTGTAACAAATCTAAGGACAGCATCGTCTACCGTACACAGCTGCCGCTAATTTGTTTCTTTAACAAGGATCCCCCCCCCTTTTTGATAAACACAAACATCTAACAAGAGCCAAAATAACCACCTCTCCCGTGCGACCCTTTCCAAAAAGGCATGTTGCACAGAAATTTCAGAACACCGGAAAGGGTTGATAAGTGTGCGCTGCTCTGAAACAAGGGATTCAGAAACTCCGGCTCTTGGGAAAGCTCCCAGGAGAGCACACATGGTCCCGTCGTACCAGTTTATCCGGTGTTTCTTGATCACTTTCCCCTTGAAACAACAAGTCACGCCAGCATCTACCACCCCCAGCTTCCCTTCGCCCCACTGAAATTTACAGACAGGGGTGGAAATGCAAACCCAACTACTCCGGTCTGGGGATGGCACTCACATCTCCTCAGGGTCTGGGACAGAGGCAGGGCTCTTGCACCAGCCCTGGGTAGAGGCCGGGGAGGAGCGCTCGAAGGAGTGCAGGAAAGGAAGGAAGTCCTCCTCGGCCCAGAGGAGAAGACCCCAGACAGCCAGGTCAGGGAGCCTTGCCTGTCCCAGCATATAGCCTGAGAAGGAGAAGAAGAGACTGGATTTATACCCCGTCCTTCACTCCCCAAAGGAGTCTCAGAGTGGCTTACAAACTCCTTTTCCCTTCCCCTCCCCACAACAGACACCCTGGGAGGTAGGAGGGCTGAGAGCTCTTGACAGAAACTGCTCTTTTTCAAGGACAACTCTGATCAGAGCTACGGCTTGCCCAAGGTCATCCAGCAGGTGCAAGTGGAGGAGTGGGGAATCAAACCCGGTTCTCCCAGATTAGAGTCCGCGCACTTAACCCCTACACCAAAGCAAGGGGCAGAGCACTCCCCCTTTCCCATGGGGGAAGAAGAACTTAAATTTCTCGCTCAGCTCCTGTCTGCTTGGTAGTGGGGAGCCTGGAAGTGACAAAGACGGGGAGGGGCCCCAACCAATGCTCCTTCTAAGCCGTGGAGTCTTGTGAGCAAAAATTCTACTTTGTGAGCTCCTGGCATTGACGTTGTGAGCAATGCTCCCTCTAAGCTGCGGAGTCTCGTGAGCAACAATTCTACTTTGTGAGCTCCTGGCATTGACGTTGTGAGCAATGCTCCCTCTAAGCTGCGGAGTCTCGTGAGCAACAATTCTACTTTGTGAGCTCCTGGCATTAAAGCTGTGAGCGAGCAATTTGGCTATGGTATAGATTAGTTTGCTCTGGAGCTTTCCCTCCTGAGCTAAGGCAAAAAACGTGTGAGCCGTAGGCTATAAAAACCGTGAGCTGGCTCACACTAACTCAGCTTAGGGGGGACACAGCTCAGATCCCTACCTTCCTCTCAGACCTATTTGCATGCACAGAAGCCAATGCTCCCTCTAAGCTGTGGAGTCTCGTGAGCAAAAATCCTACTTTGTGAGCTCCTGGCATTAAAGCTCTGAGTGAGCAATTTGGCTACTGCATAGATTAGTTTGCTCTGGAGCCTTCCATCCTGAGCTAAGACAAAAAGCGTGTGAGGCGGAGGTTAAAAAATTGTGAGCTGGCTCACACTGACTCAGTTTAGAGGGAACACAGCTCAGATCCCTATCTCCCTCTCAGACCTATTTGCATGCATAGCAACCAACGCTCCCTCTAAGCTGCGGAGTCTTGTGAGCAAAAATCCTAGTCTGTGAGCTGGCTCACACTGACTCAGCTTAGAGGGAACACTGGTCGTGAGCGAGTAGTTTGGCTACTGCAGAAAAGAGTTTGCTCTGGAGCGAGGCTCCCCCTAAGCTGTGGAGTCTCGTGAGCAAAAACCCTACCTTGCGAGCTCCTGGCATTCAAGTGGCCAGCGGGCGATTGGGCTGCGGCATCAATCAGCTTGCCCTGGAGCCCTCCTGCCCCTGAGCTAAGGCGAAAACGCGTGCGCCGGAGGCTAAAGAGACCCTGAGCTGGCCCACAGCAGACCCAGCTTAGAGGGAACACTGGTCGTGAGCGAGTAGTTTGGCTACTGCAGAAAAGAGTTTGCTCTGGAGCGAGGCTCCCCCTAAGCTGTGGAGTCTCGTGAGCAAAAACCCTACCTTGCGAGCTCCTGGCATTCAAGTGGCCAGCGGGCGATTGGGCTGCGGCATCAATCAGCTTGCCCTGGAGCCCTCCTGCCCCTGAGCTAAGGCGAAAACGCGTGCGCCGGAGGCTAAAGAGACCCTGAGCTGGCCCACAGCAGACCCAGCTTAGAGGGAACACCGCGCCCCCACTTCGGCCGCCTCCTCGCGCCTCCTCGGCTGGCTGCCCTTCCTTCCCCGCCGCCTCTCACCTCGCCGTTCCAGACGGTGGGAGCCTCTGCGCGCCGGCGCAGCCGCTCTGCCTTTTAGGGATTCCTGCCGCCTCCAGAAGGGCGGCGTTGCAGGCGAGCGCCGCCGCCGGGCTCGGGGGCCGCCAGTCGATGCCACGCCGGTCCCGAGGCCGCCCCCACCAGGGGAGGGGGGGAACCAATCGCCGCCGGCACCCCCGGGGCTGGAGCAGCCGCGGCTCCAAGCCGGACCCTTTGGGCCGACGGACACGGGCGCTCTCGCGCTCTCTCCGTCGCTAGAGGGCGCTGCCGAGCAGAAGAGGCTGAGGCGCTCCGGCTTCCCCGCCGTCCAGGGACCCCCCTGAGCTGAGCGAGTGTGAGCTTAGCCGGCTCAGTTTTTTAGCCTCCGCCTCACGCATTTTTGTCTCAGCACAGGAAGGACGGCTCCAGAGCAAACTAATTTATGCAGGAGCCAAATCATCTGCTCACAACTTTAATCCCAGCAGCTCACAGAGTAGGATCTTTGCTCACAAGACTCCACAGCTTAGAGGGAGCGTTGGTTGCTATGTATGCAAATAGGTCTGAGAGGAAGATGGGGATCTGAGCTGTGTTCCCTCTAAGCTGAGATTGGTGTGAGCCAGCTCACAGTTTTTTAGCCTATGCCACACGCATTTTTGTCTCAGCACAGGAAGGAGGGCTCCAGACAGCAAACTGATTCATGCCGTGGCCATATCGCCGGCTCACCACTTGAATGCCAGCAGCTCACAAAGTTAGAATTTTTGCTCACAAGACTCCACAGCTTAGAGGGAGCATTGCTCCGGAGGCCCCAGCCGGGCAGAGAAGCCAAGAGGGGACGCAGTGTTCCCTCTAAGCTGAGTGAGTGTGAGCCAGCTCACAGTTTTTTAGCCTCCGGCTCACACATTTTTGTCTCAGCTCAGGAAGGAGGGCTCCAGAGCAAATTAATTTATACAGGAGCCAAATCGCTCACTCACAACTTTAATCCCAGTAGCTCACAGAGTAGGATTTTTGCTCACAAGACTCCACACCTTAGAGGGAGCGTTGGTTGTTACGCATGCAAATAGGTCTGAGAGGAAGATGGGGATCTGAGCTGTGTTCCCTCTAAGCTGAGTTAGTGTGAGCTTGCTCAGTTTTTTAGCCTCCGGCTCACACATTTTTTGCCTTAGCTCAGGAAGGAGGGCTCCAGAGCAAACTAATTTATACAGGAGCCAAATCGCTCACTCACAACTTTAATCCCAGTAGCTCACAAAGTAGGATTTTTGCTCACAAGACTCTACAGCTTAGAGGGAGCATTGCTCCGGAGGCCTCAGCTGGGCAGAGAAGCCAAGAGTGTTCCCTCTAAGGTGAGTTAGTGTGAGCTTGCTCAGTTTTTTAGCCTCCGGCTCACACATTTTTTGCCTTAGCTCAGGAAGGAGGGCTCCAGAGCAAACTGATTTGTGCAGCAGCCAAACCGCTCCCTCACAGCTTGAATGCCAGCAGCTCACAAAGGAGAATTTTCGCTCACAAGACTCCACAGCTTAGAGGGAGCATGGGTTGTGATGTGGAGGCAGGCGATGGCAAAACCACCTCAGAACATCTCATGCCCCGGGGGGGGGGGGTCCCCATGTCAGTTGTGGCCTGGCCACACTTTTCCACCAGTGTTCCCTCTAAGCTGAGTTAGTGTGAGCGAGTTCACAGTTTTTTAGCCTCCGGCTCACGCATTATTGTCTTAGCTCAGGAAGGAGGGCTCCAGAGCAAACTGATTTGTGCAGCAGCCAAATGGCTCACTCACAACTTAAATGCGGGTAGCTCAGAAAGTAGAATTTTTGCTCACAAGGCTCCACAGCTTAGAGGGAGCAAAACGCAAACGAGAAGAAAGAGCGGACTAAGTGTTGGACTAAATGGGCCACTGGCCTGATCCAACATTGGCTTCTCTTATGTTCTTATGACTGAATCTGGTTTTTACAGTTTTTGTTGCACTGAACTTCTGGTGCGCATATGAGTGAAACTGCTGAAGCTCAGCAGAGAGATTAGTGTCCAAGTCCTCAGGGTTAGCATCAATTAGCTTTTGAGAACACTGAGAGTACCTTTTGGTTTCAGTAGGTGAATCCAGTATGAATTCAATAGATGAAGTGACATTCTTCGGCTCATCCCTTAGAAAAGAAAACCTGTCCGCTCTTCTCATCTGTTCCTATCCACAGGTTTTGCCAATCACCTTAATCCAATCTTATATTTACTCCTCAGTTACTTAGCATCTTGACTGTAGTTGACTGTTCATGGCAACACCCTCCTCACTCTCTGCCTATATGTAATGGTTAGTGACTTCTGTTTCCATGTATCTGAAGAAGTGTGCATACACACAAAAGCTTATACCCAAAATAAAACTTTGTTGGTCTTAAAGGTAACCACCGGACTCAGGTTTTGTTCTGCTCCTTAAGACCAACAGGGCAGCCTGCCTGAATCTTTTTGTGATTGCCAAAAAAAACCATCCACCAGAGAGCGAACTGCCAAGCGTTCCTATATGTCTCCCACAAACAAGTCGATTTCAGACGTTATTTCCTGGCTGCAAACACGATTTGTATAAAAACGCTGCATTGGCTATATGGCCAAACTAAACAGATCACTCTGTGATCTAAAAAAAGCCTAGCTTTTTTTTTAAACTTTCCATTTATTGATCGCTTAATCCATGCAGAGCTGCCGGCTCTGAGCGATTTACAGTTACTCCTGAATTTCACATGGGACTAACAATGCTGGGGGTAAGGGAGGACAACATATATCATTAAATCATACGCATTTCGTAGTCGACGGAGTTTGGTCGGCTGAAAGGTCCAGACGTGTTCCCGGCAGCATTCCTTTTTTTGGTGTCACTTGATGTCGTCAGTATTGTCTCAGTCGCAGCGCATCACTGCCACCGTCTGGCCGAATGGCCTATTGCAGGCTTTTCTTCAACACTGCGTAGATCTTTCTCGGCTTTCGGATCTTACGCGCAGACCCTCCGGTCCCCTTCCAATTATGATTAGCTTCCAATTATTCAACCAATTTAACAACAAACAAAACTATTTTGGGGGGTGGAGCCTTGGGTTTGTTGTGCAGAGGAAATCCAGGGGGAGGGGATAGTGGAGCCCCCCTCCAAAGCAGCTATTTCCTCCAGAGGAACTGATCCCTGCAGTCTAGAGATCAGTTGTTATTCCAGGAGTTCTCCAGGTCCCACCTGGAGGTCGGCAACCACACACAGTGGGCCCCATACAGTCCAGCACGGTTTGTCACGGTGGCCAGCCAGAAGGCCTACAAGCAGGGGCATAGACATCAAAAGCCCGACAACCACTAGCTTTCAGGGGTAGACTCCCTCTGAACATAGAGGCTCCATTTAGTCCCGGGAGTGATCAGCCGCTGCTAAGACCTCTCCCTCGCACCCCGTTTTTCTCCCATCCCCCCCTTTTAAAGCAATCTCGACTTCACGGCCATCTCTACGTTCTGTGACGGGGGGTTCCACAGATTAGGGAGACTGCATGAAACAGTTCTTTTGATTGTCAACCTAGGACAATTCGATTTTACTGATGCCTAGGACGGCGGAAGAAAGGAGGGCCTGGCGTGATCTTGTCCATGGGGTCGCAAAGAGTCGGACTTGACTATGCAACTGAACAACAAAAGGATTAAGGGAGAGGGAGAATGAGTTCTGTTGTGTCCTGGGAACTGCCACTAGGCGGGGGCCAGGCGAACAGAGCTTGATCCCTAAAGAACAATAGAGACTAGGCTCCTTAGGTCCACTAGGGGAACCAATAGAAACCTTGGCGGGGAATTCAACCCCCCCAATGGGATCCAGGGGAAAGTGTTCCAACCCTTTTATCATTCGAGTTGCCCTTTTCTGCACTTTTTCCAAAGCTATAATATCCAAAAGTGCAGAAAAGGGCAACTCGAATGATAAAAGGGTTGGAACACTTTCCCTATGAGGAAAGGTTAAGGCGCTTTGGGCTCTTTAGCTTGGAGAAACGACGACTGAGGGGTGACATAATTGAGGTTTACAAGATTATGCATGGGAAAGAGCAGGTAGAGAAAGAGGTACT